CGAGCGTCATCGTAAAAGAATACCAAATGAAAGATGCTTCATCACAAATTGCTTTTTAATTCTCAGCGGAATCAAGAGCATTCGTAACGGTGTCACGATGTTATTGCTGTGGCAGTACTATGGGCCGTAAATTACGTTTTCAGTCAAATTTTTTCATCGCATTCTTACACGTTTTCTGATTATGTGACATACAAGCAATTTACACCTACATGAGCACATTCCTCAGTGGTGGGTATGCTTTCATTAGGCAACAACACTGTGCCATCTAATTAGCGGCTCATCGGCGCCAATATTATGATCGAGTCGATGGCAAATTCTTCAAATTTTTGTGGCCAAAAAACTGAATTGCTAATATCTGAATGTAATGACCGTCGCTTCAATTATTTGATATCGACGACACTAAGAAATCAATTTCTCTCGGACTGCTTGCAATCAATTTACGATGTCCACATTTATTACGCATGACATACTGTCTTCCTTAACAAAAAAAGAATGCGTATGCCTGGAATTGTCACGAGTAAATTCAAGGAAGCATCGACTGTTATCACTTGAAGAAATTATATGATGAAAGATTGGTCATTGCCGGGAATACACTTTTTGTTTTGTTTTTTGGCGAAACTCTTTTCATTTTTCACAGAACCTCCAACTATTTAGTGAACAGCCTAATCAGTCTAAGCATTCAGCCTGATCCTAAGCCTACATGTCTATTCGAGTGTTCTGATATCACTGTTAAGTTGGAAACGTTGTTTTTCAGTACTGAAATTTCTCTCACCAATCAGTCATTTACAATGTTGTTTACTACCTCAAAAAATAACCAACTGATCTGTAGCTCACAAAGTTTGATTGACTGCTTTATGCTTAAGATTCTGTCATGAAATCTCATTAGTTAATTTGTTTTCGTTTTTGATTGAAGCAAATGGCAGAAGACACGACTAATGATGTAAATAAATACATCTTTATATCAAAATAAGTTTGTTTATTTCAGTGTGGATTTTTTTTGTGTTGAATTCGTTTGAGTTTGTTCAGCAAACAGCGGCAAAGTTTTTGGTTCATTGATTTGTGTAGGTAAATTCGGTTCTTCTGAAAGTGAATCTCATACGATGCTCATCCACTTTTGAGGCACTTTGAACATCGAAACTATTCATTCTTTCAACTATTCTTCCTTTTCGCTCTCTATGAAAACATCTCAGATACACTGCAACGATTATTCACTCGGAGACATTCTTTCTCGCTGCCGTTTTCTTATGTCGTCAAATATAGACGATCAATTTCAAGAGATTCTCTTCTTCCTTTGTACTTTTTCGAATTGAAATGAAAAGTTTTGTGGGAAAAAACCGGTTTTTTGATGCGGTGTCTCGATGAAATCAAATTTCGAAAGGGATGAAACGATTGCAGCGGGATGTGTCAGATGTTTGTGAAGGCTCAGAAAACACTATGGAAAGTAGCCGCCTTTTAGCCGGCGGAGTATGTGTTTGTGTGCGATTTTGTTTAACACATTTCGCATGCAACCAAAAAAGTAGTGAAATGTTATCTGGAAACATTTTATCCAATAACAACCTAATCCAGTTTAAAATCTATCCAAAGAGCACCACACATTTTAAACGATGCACTCAACAAACATTATTATTGTTTTACTGCACCTTTTGTTTACCACAAAAATCTAGAAGTTTAATGTTTCAATATTCATCCATCCACCTCCAAAAAAAAACTTCACATTAGAAAGGCTAAAAGCTCGGTGCTGGTTTTGATGTGAAATGAGATTGAGTGAGAGCAACTTTTAAAATGAATGATTAGCTAACGTCAACAACATATGTGCACGCAAGCACATTCGACATTTGTAAATAAAATCTATTTGATGCAATTCATTCGTGTTCTTGTATACACTGTTAAAATATGTGTGTGCACATACACTAAACACATTTTGTGAATGTAAATTGAATGGAACAATGCCGTTGGGCATTGCAAGTAAATTGTGCCGTGCCCATTTGAGCCGTGCCTCATAATCGTGTTGCAATTTGAAGAGTCGAGACGTTTTGCGCATACGGAAATGGTGTGCGTGATGATGGCATTCAATTCAACTCGATAGTACTTTTTGGATTAAATGTGCACTTAGCGATTCGTTATTTCGGCAGCAGTAATTCCACTTGAGAGCACATCAAATTGACTCGTTTTGTTCTGTCGCTGACACAAAGAACGAGGAAAGCGAAAGCATTCAGAGGCATTCTGAGGATGAGCTCTAAAAAGTGCATTCAACTAATGCACTTGATGGAAATAGTTTTAGAAAGGTTTTTGTTCTGATCTGAATTGATGGCAATATTTGTCATCTAATGATCTGCCATCTCTTTGAAATTTTTTCCTGGTATGCACTCGAAAAGGATACGCGGAAGACATTGATTGCTATTGAAGGCAGGCAATTGTTTTGCGATACCGTGAAATAGAATCGAATTGAATGCGTATTTTACAAATCTAAATGCAATGCACATTTTACAAAGTTTACTCATTAAAATGAATGAGAGTTGTTGTGATATTTTTTGCATACATAAATATGTAAAATGCACTGAACAGTTGCNTGGACTTTGAAAATTTAGTCAGATCTTATCTCACATATTACCATCGTTTATTAGTTATTCGAACTAAAAATAGATTCTCTCTTCAAATGACGAAACAAGATATGAATGCACTGCTTTCATCATTTCTGCCCTTGTTTTTTATTAATGCTCATATTGTCTTTCGAAATCAACCTACAATTATTAAATTCCTGAAGATTCGAGACGAATTGTTCGACTCTCTCAAAATCCTAGATTTTTGTTCTAAAAAGGCATTGACGCAGATTTTCGAGCTTCTTCTACAATATAAGTGCTCAACTTTCAATAGGGTTGTTTGAACTTCAGACTAACAATGAAAGACAATTGCAAAAATTGTTTGAGGCAATCTGACATTTTTTTCAATGATTAAGTACGGTTCAATTAGCTCACTATCAACCTTCGTTATAAAAAACAATTTTTCTTTCAGAATCATGAAATATTTTTCCGAAAGGCCGATCCACCACGAAATAATTACGCAAAAGCGACCGTGCTGTTCCTTCACGGACAATCGTATTCGTCCGCAACGTGGCTAGAACATTCCACCATGCAGGTTCATTGTAGACAGACTTACACAGAAGATGTATGACTGAACGATACGTTATAAATTAAGATGTCAAGCCAATAAAAGATATGTTATAAATTAAGATGTCAAGCCAATAAAAGGAATCTGCTTAGTGTTCACCGTTAGCAATTTTGCTCGAATTTCAGATTTTCGCTGCCGCAGGATATCGATGCTATGCGATTGATTTGCCAGGATGTGGGAGGACCGGTGGACCTGCAGTGCCAGATCCTGAGAAACCTGAGCTGCTTTCGCTTATCATACGACGACTCGATCTAGAAATGGTTCGGTTTGATCTCATTGCGCAGAAATATTTCTTTTACTGATGTTCGATATTCGATATCTCGCCATCTCATTTTCATGCAAAATCATCAACGAATTACTGTGTTGAGTTTGCGAATACTTTAATTCGGTTGATTTTTTGGCAGTTTGATTTTTTCTCGGTAGTTGATGTAACAGAAAAAGATTATCAAGAAATTTTCTGAGCGAAGGCAAAATTATTTGCAGGTGATGATCGTAGGTCATAGTATGGCTGGACAATATATAGTACCGTTGCTTGGTATGGATCGAATTGTGTGTGTTGTAGCGATTGCTTTATCGAATACGAACCTGTTAAGTGCAGACGATGTAGCACGTATCAATACACCTGTCTTGGTGGTTTGGGGTGATCGAGATACTAGTCTTGGGCCGAGTTCAGCGAGCAACCTGAAACGACTACCTAACTCAAGGTCACTGATCTTATTCGCTATTCTATCAGCAGTCATTTTCATAGATCCGCCTTAAATCAAACGAACAATAAGCTAGCAAAATAGTTCGTAATCATCCTGTGTGCCTCTCATGCGACGGCTAGAGTGAAATTCATAAATATTTGCAGGTTACTGAAGATATCGTCAGCCGGTCATGCATGTTACCTCAATAACGCAAGCGTTTTTCAATCGGCGTGCCTCAACTTTTTTGACTTAGTTCGACATTATTCAACTCTTTGATGTGTATTTCCTCATAAGCATCATAATATTGTACATTGAATTTTGACCTGAAATAAACTAATAAAGTTTGTTTTCATTCAGTTCATCAGCTCGTCACAAAGTATGAACTTTATTCTCATACAGTCAAGTATTATTACGGAATGTTAGAGATGAACACTCTTTCTGAAGGTTAATCAAAACTTAGCTAAAATTGTTCGAGGGCTGCAGTTTTATCTTATCAGGCTTTCGAGGGCTGAAGTCTTATCAAACTTTCATATGATTACATTCAACCTAATACCGTAAAACGTCGGCTGCTACCCTGTTCGGGAAGGCCCTGGGATGTGAGAAAAGAATCTAAGCAGAGAAACAAGGATCAGTGACCTGTTTTTGCAGCTTTTTAAAATTACTGTCCATGCTTCCGGCTCCTTCACAAATCAATTAATCATTCCTCTGATTTTGTCACATGTTGTGACCATGTTCCGATATCGATCTACTATGTAGCAACCCGTGAAAACATTTATCCAACTGCCCCGCCACGGAGTTTTCATATTTTTAGATTTGTCTCAATCTCAGTACAAGCACTAGCTTAGACCTTCTTAATATTGAGCCTGTATCAGAAAATATCAGTAAATGTTCAAGCCTCGTATCAATGCTGGAGTTGGTAATCTTGCATTTAAGGTCAGTAAAATCAAAACAGCATTTCGT